ATCGCCAATATAGTCACAACAGGTCTATGATCTTTAATCCAATATTCAATATTAATTTAATAGACTTGCTATAGCTGATCATGACTATTATAGCAATATAGCTATGATTTATTCTCTGTCAAACCCTTTTATTAACTTACTTAGCAAATAATGTTATTCGTACAGTAACTATTCGTCTATTTTTTGTATTATTATGCTCACTGCCATGCTAGGTTAAACATGTGTACTTGATCACGTGTGACAGCCCGCGCACATGCCTCTCTCTAGTTTAAATGTCGATCGCTTAAATATAGCTCGATAAGTCATTCTCTTTACCACGTATATGTGTGCTTGAATCCTATTAATAGCCTTGGCCGTGCCTAGGTCCGCCTTAATTCGATTCGACTATAAATTTACTTATGTATTCACTCGCAAACACATATTAACCTCTCTCCTCCAAATTCGCTCAATGTACTTGTAGATTTGTTATCTGTGCTACCCGCTAATAAACGGTAGTTGCCACTTCTTATCGCCTTCGGAATTCGAACACCAATGGGGATTTATATGTTAACGGTTATCAAGGTGATTGATTCACAAAGCTAAACCACTATAATTTCATTTTGCTTTCAAACATTTTTGATGGCAAATAATAAAAAAAGGATCTACTAAAGGATCAGAATGTGCAACCAATATGTACTGTTTACTTTATCTAGTATATTGAATGTATTAAGTATATATATATATGCGCCAGTCTAATTATTTAAAACATGCAAACTGATATCATGGAACTTAATAAATCACTACAACTTACATCATGGATTCTAAATTTCATTAGGTTTTTGGAATAAATCATAATTTATGGGGATGAATACATCTAAAATAAACATTAGGTTTTCAGTGAGATTAACATTAAAAAGGAATGTGATTATTATATGAATCGTTCATTTAAACACAGTTCTTCTATATTAAAGTATTAACTACTAACAGTTAACTTTATCTCTTGAAATAATTACATCTGTCTTCCCAGTTGAATGAATATTATTCTTTTACTCATAAATATTACAAATCTAAAGTGTAACATATTGACTGATAATTTGACTGTTTAGAATGGTTTTGTGTTTGTCTAGTTGTCACACATAAAATAATATTCGTTAACTAAGTTTAAACAGTGAACAGATCTTTTGGAGTATCATTTGAATTCAAGACATCATTTCTCAGGACGGTTACGTTTTTTTGTTTTCAATATGTTGAGCGGATGTTTGTTCGACGGCTTTGATAATTTATTTGCTTAAACAAATAGTTGACATTTCTGATTATAATATGAAAATGTCTATGTAATTTGCATTGATCAGACTAGTCATAATATTAGGAAATTACTATGAGGAATTGGACGACATTACTCCATGTTCGTTTACCCACTATTTTAAGCTAAGCTCCTAGGTTTCAAACACATATGACTAACATTGTTCGAAGTATGACCACTATATATTCATTTGGTTCATATGACATCTGTTATATTTTTCAAACATCCTATAGTGATTAATTATAATGACTTTTTAAACTTATGTATTTATAACAGATCCCAAACCTTTTTTAGTTAACCGCATACGAATTACTTTACAATGGTTAAAATCAAATGTATTCAAAATTTAATTATACTATTTGAGTCACATTTTGACCTTATTAATTATTTGCTTATCAACCTTGACTGATTTTAAATAAGCGTATGTTTGTGCACTTTTTATCCTATTGATCACATGTCTGTAACTTATTTTTGTGTGGCTATATATATTGATTCATGCTTGGTTAAATTGAGTTGGCTCACATACCTCCTCTGATCTATTTCATTTCGCTCTCTTTTCTTCACTTCCTTCGTTGAGCTTCTCTGATTGTTTATCCAGATCAATGGGTGTACAAAATATATATGCATTCAAAACTTCATTCTCGTATTTGACTTATTTTATTTCGTTATTCACTAACGCGTGTTAAGTCGATGATTATGTACGAGGATTGGCGATATGTAAATATTTCAATAGCAATCAAGTTAGATTTAGGGCCAATGTCATAATTTTCAAAATAAGGCATGTTATTGAATTAAACATTGGTATAGATTCAAATATTAAACTTAAGCATCTGATAGGGGATACATATTAGCTATATTTGATAAAATGAGACCGATATAATAAAAAAGTTAGATCACGGTTTTTCTCAATTCAGTATAATAACTATGATAACTGCTTAGAATAAAAATTTTTTTATTTTCAATTTAATCATTTGCTCAATATAATATTAATTTCATTTTTAGTATAATTTTTGTCTAAGTTATAGTATTGTTTATATTGAATTAACATAAACTATGTTTAATATGAGATGTAATATGCAATTTTGTGGTATTTTCATATATGTGATTTACTTGATTAGTAATTAATTGAGTGTACAATACATTGTATAAATTAGTGTATTTTTGGCTAGGGTTATCATGTTCTGAAGTGAATTAGTCTTCACTTGTACCAGATTATTTTTTGTATTCTTTGAGTCATATGAAATGTATTTGTTCTTTATTTCAAGTACAAGTAATAGGTGAGGAGGATATAACATACATAAGTAAATAAAATTATGTGAACATCTATGGATTGTTAATAAATGTAGCATGGGATATTTTTGATCAAAGTAAAAATTATTAGATGTACAAAATACATTGAGTTCACTACGGATAAATATATTTTACCTGAAGACATACTTTATTCATTCAATGTTTATATTACTTTTAAACAATGAAGAAAACCAAATACATGACTATATTTTTATATATCATGCAAAAACTGTTTAGAATAGCTAACAAGTTTACAAAAGAATAAGAAACAACTTTGTCGAATAGACTATTTAGTTTAAAATTCATTAGTTTGTCCGGTAATGATAAAACAGTAATTTCCGGAATTTTCACAATACATAAATACATTAACATTTTGTTACTCCGATTTTTTTACTTAAATTACATTTACCTTAACTAATTTATTAATATTGTGAATCCTTTATATAACACTTGTGACATGAATTTTTTTATTATTAATATCATAAATCAATAAAGACTTTCTTCAAAAGACTTGTATCTATGATGTAATGCATTGGAAATCGAGTATATTGACAAGGCATAAAACCCTTAAGTTATTCATTAGCAGTAGGTTTTATAACATTTTAGAGTAGAGTTATTTCGCCTGATCGTGGAACGTTACCAAATATGCTCTAATTTTTCTCAATTAAAACCTAAGTGTCTGTTACAACTATTATTTGCAGGAAATACATCACAATAAATAGATTTTTCTCAATTACTCGGTTGTTACTAATTACCCTCTAACGAGACAAATCAACCTTCATCTAGATATTAGGTTAATCTGTGTCACATAATTAACTGTGGTTAAGGTCGATCTAAAATTAAAGTTACCTCATAACATGCGATTATTATATGTATACAGGTTGTTAAACTAGTGTCGGATTATTAAACTCTGAATGCTGACCAACTACGATTCGGTAATTATAGAATATAACGACTCAACTAAGAACCTGACATTATTCTCCATAGCCATTAGTGTATTCTTTAAAAACATAACGCTTCTGTCTTAAAGTCAAGTATCAACTGTCTAGAATTCAAAGCTAATAATAGTTTTTAGTAATAGTATCAACAAACAAATAACAACAATATCATAGTTTGTAACCTAAAAGCATTCAGTTCTGATCATATTGCAGTATACAATAATGAGTGCATAAAGAAGCAGAACTACTGACAGCCAATTTACACTATTTATATGAACAGACTAAAGCAAGTTATAATTGTTTCAGATGTTATCAAGAAACGCATTTGGTAATGACCAGTAGATGATGAATACCAGGGTAAAACATTAGAATTATGTATTTCAATGAAGCACCAATTCAATTAATCTTAAGGCGATGTACTTTTTACTTGTTAAGATTAGGATGAAATGTAAAATTAGAATAATCACACATAATCTTATATATATTTTGGTATGGTGCTTTAGGACATATCACAGAACAATAACAAACACATACAATTTACATATACGAATACATAAATAAACCGGTAAAATGAAGTTTTTTTCTATTTCAAAAAACAAAACCATGAGGTAGAAATATTAGTCAAAAACTTTTTCAGGTTATACTTTGCTCCATTCTACTGATAAAGTAATTTATAAAGGGTTTAAATCAGTAATGAAACAAATTTACTTTTACTTTCTTTTAAGCCAAAACGATTGCACTTTTGTGATATATTAACTTTAAAGGGGGGGTGAATAAAATCTAATCATTTATTTCACAAAAAATCAAAGCAAGAAAACAATAAAGCACAGGAGAACGAAACAACAATTCTTGCCAGTAAAATATTGTCTATACATAATCAAAAATGTTATTAAACAGTAGCAAAGTGTTTTAATAAATTATTTATTTGTATCATATAGTATTATGTCATTTCTTTGTATAATTACATTATCTTTCTTTTGAACGTACATATGAAATAGTTTTACAAATACAGTGTAAAAACATCATAGGCAAATGAAGGACACAATGAAGAACCTTGGATACAAACAAAAATTCATGTCTTTTTGTACAGGAAATATAGATTGCAATGAAGATATGTATATTCAAGCATAGTTTGCTATAAAAATTTATTTTTGTTTTTCAATCCAACATATCAATATGAAAGAGATTTTTTCTGAAACATTAGATCACCAAAGTATAGGACTGGTATTTAAAATGCGTGAACAGAACAATTTAATCAATGGAATGATAAATCATCATAATGTAGCATTAAAATACATGTTTTTACTTCTTAATATTCATTAAAAAATAAGATCTGTAAGCTTACTGCTAAGACACGACATAAAAGCACACCTATTAACAATAGTATACATCAAAAATGAAAGCTAACATGAAGAAGAACTACAAAATGTACACACGTATACACATCACAAAAGAATAGATACGGTGATTTGAAAATCTTATTTTATTAATTATGCTCTGTGAACTTTTAATTTGTTTTTCTTTTCTTTTTTACCTAATCTAAATGGAATTGTTGAATTAAACTACACAGTTCATACTTTAACATTCATTAAATTTACTTTAAAAAAAAGTTGGTAAACATAGTAAAAATCAATAAAATACTACACATGGAGTAACTCAAAATATACGTTTTGTGAGAATTATTTTTTTCTAGTTTATTATTACTTTGCATTTGTACCGATGTTCTTATATGCCTCCAAGCTTGAGTTTCTTGTTGTTGTTGTTGCTGTTGTTGTTGCTGTTGTCGACGTTGTAATTGTTGTAAACGATATGTTTTATCAAGAGTTCTATCTAAATCATAATGTTCATTAAATCCTGGTGCTTTTAAAATGCTTTTTTGAAATGTTGAAAACTTAACATGATATCTTATTTGTGGATATTGATCATTGATCATTATAGTTAGAACTTCTAGTAGATTAATGCATAACTAAAATGTAAATGAATGAAAACATCTCGCATAGTTATGATTATTGAATGACCAAAAAACATTTACTACAAAATCCGAGAGTATGAATATGACTAGTAAAATGTCAAAGACTTCACGTTACACAGATCATCAATCTTGTAATTGAAATATGACCATTTGAATACGTTAGTTCCTTGAATTTTAAAGCATATTGTACATGCACTTATTTAAAGAAAAACTTGTATCGTTTTCTTGTTAAACCATTAAAACATCATTTTTAACACTTTCCTGAGTAATAAACCCTATGAACAATAGTTTTCGGCTACAAATTAAGGATATCAGTTTTCTGATGTGGATCTGTGAGTTAAATTTGGTTATATTGACCAACAATTTGTCCATAGATACTGATTTTATTTATTGAGTTGACTTGTTTGAATATAGGCTATCATTATATATTCCTTTGTAAATTTATCAATCAATGCTGAGAAAAGGTAAATAAAGTTTCCTTGTTCAGTCATAATTGAATATTTTCCTAGTTAATTCATTTTAGTCAAACTTTCTTGTCATTAAACAATTATATGGTGAACTTCACCTCTATGTATTTATATATAAACATACTGTGGTGCGTGCTACTTATATTGATATAAGTAGTGTATGACGCGAGTCAGGAATGTAATGTCTGGGAGCAGGAGATGGGGGAAGATCAAGAAAGCAAGAGTGGGAATAGAATGTAATTTGTTTGAAAATGCAAGGACAATGAAGTCTGAGGCATTTTGAAACAACTGGTAGACATTTTGCAAATTAACGATTCGATATATGGTTCTCAGATTTTATTGAGATGCTGTGTAATTTTGTGTTTACACTCGATTGTCCTCACCCGTGTTCTGTTCACTACAATACTACTGACAAGTGACATCTTCGGCACAACTTTTAATATTTGTATAAATTATAATAATGTACGTTGATAAATATGACACGTTTTGTTATCAATCAACAGTAGGACTATGAACGTTTTACATACATCCAGTAATTTCGGTCCTAAAACTACTAATTACAATAAATATCAATAAAGTCAGATGAAATAATTTACTTTCTTAACATGAAAGAAATCGTTAACGCATGACTGCATAAGATATCAAACAACTTGAACATTGTGTAATCGCAAACGCTTCCAGTGAACAGTCAGTTTTTCCGTTACATGAATCTACAAACTACAACTCAGTAAAATAGAAAAATGCTACATATCACCTTATAAAATTAACAAGCATAGTTATTTTAACAATACATTTTGTTTTAAACATACAGAAGTTTTATTTTCTGTCGGAAAAGATGTATCTAAATTGATTGCCAGTAGATATTCTAATCGTTTTAGTAACTTATTCGAATTATTGTTGGTTGAATGTTGTTTTAACCAGAAATGTTTATCATCGATTGTTTGATATGCAGATAATATCAACCGACAGCTTTTCTGTCCGAATAAATGTGCTAGGAAATTGGTCAGCAGAAATTCAAGTTGAATAATACTTCCGTAAAATTCATATTCTGAAAGTGATTTATCATCAGCCAACAAATCAATCGTTGTAGAATACATTTCCACATCGAAATCAATCAATAGTTTATGACCTATAAGAAATGGAATGGTGACATAACACAGTTGTGGAGATGAATGACAAAGTATATAATAATACTATTTACAGTGTAGCAAGTTATCAGCTTATAGTTGTATCATTGAAAAATCTTTAACTAATTCAAGAAGAAGCGGATATGTGGACCACGGACCACTTCAATTAATTTGTTGTAAGTCAGATTTACAAGCGAAACTTTAGTAACTTACTTTAAACCATGGAAAAGTATATTACTCTATATGTCCAGTGAAGAAAATAAATATTTAACTTCACATCATAATTTAATAAAAATAATAACCACCGTTATCAACATGAATGATTGTTAAATCTAAGTAGAGATTAAAAGTAGTATAACGCATATTTGCTTAGAATTATTTGTGTGAGAGTATCATTAATTTACCATAAACGATATGGTAAGAAACTAAAATTGTTTGATAATAAAAGTTCCATTATCTTCATCTATATATAGTTGTTTTCTTTTTTCCCTGAGTGAAAAACTCAATCGCATTATGATTCAAGCATCGCAAATGACCTATTCGATTCGTTGTTATACAACATGATGTTGTCATACAATCTACATGTTTTTGTGAGTTTTTCACCTACGAATCATTACAGTTAGCTTACTTAATATTAAAAAACTCAAAAATCAGCCAGCCGAATACATTTAGTAAAACAGACGTATCTGATTCTAATCTGATTATGAGATGGGACTGTGAATATTTATGAATTATTGCTAATAGGTCATTTGTTCATAATGAACGTATAGTTATCTAGATATTTCTATTCACCGATTCCTGTCAGTATTACTCATTCAACTAATTAAATTCGACTGGGAAGTCGGTTACTTTGAAATTGAGCAAAAATAACAGATGGGTATTAAACAGAAGAATTTTCAGTCTCTTCTACTTAGTACATAAACAATAACGGTGTCAGGTTGGAATACCTACTTAGATAAATTGTGTCCTGGTGCCATCTAATTTATTAAGAGAGTTTTGCAATTAAATTATCAAACCTTTTGATCGATCACATTTCTATTTAGAAAAACATATTAACGATAAAGTGAGGTAATTTAAGGTCACAAACCTGTTAAAAAATATTGGTTTTTCGGAATGAATACATCACAGACAACATGATCATATGCATAACATACACAGTGACGATTAAATTTTGGCAGATAAAGACAACCTAGTGATAAATTTGCTTGATAAATATTGATTGTCTGTATTCGTGTTGGAAAAGTAACATTTTGACTAGTACGATTAGATAAAGAATAAGCATGCCAAATTTTCATCTCTGTTCCATAACACATTTCATATCGACAACCAACGTGACAATTGCATAGTAAAGAACAATTTCGTGCAAGCTGTCTTTCTTCTTGATAATCACGCAAAGATGGAATTCTGACAAAATCTTCAGAAGGCATTTGTAGTTTTTTCATCATTTTACAATATACTGAGAAAGAAAAATAAGATAAAAATTTATTTGAAATTAGTATAAGTGTGAAAATTGAAAATTCTTCTCCATTTTGACTTATTTTGTTTTGAAATACTGTTAAGCTAGTTCAAATACTTAACTAGTCCACCAAAGTTTTCCAGTGATTGTAGGATTTGATCTTTTATTAATAGGTGTGAAATACTGTTCACATAGTTAAAGCAACTAATTCAGAGAAAAAACATAATTGGACGGTACTGGGTTTGAGTCCCAGTGCGAACATCAACTGTGAGATGCAGATAAACCGAGCTGACGAGTCCTAAACAGGACGAAACACGCGTCCTGGATTCCATTGCTAGCCACTATCCATCTTTGCTAATAAAGTTTGTAATAATTTGATGTAAGTTCTAAATGAACCAATCTAATCTTTAGTAACGAACTATTTGCCCTCAAAGGATAAACGTTTTATTACACATTCAAAAATATACTTGTAATTTAATGTACTGTTAAGTGACATGTTAAGATGTGATCAAACCTGAAAATGAATGCTTAGAGTTATAAATAGAGGGGTAATTTTCAAAAAGAGTTATTATACAACTTACATCTACATTCTAATGGTTTACATAAATTTCGTCTAAAAAGTTCCTAACCTGTTCAGTAAAATAATATAGTTAGTCAAATATGTTAAAGGGCTTCTTTCAAGAACCGTAAAAACCTCTTGAAAAAAAGTTAATGAATGAGCTCAAAGTAATCAATCAGGTAGAAAATAGAAAGCAATGACTTTTTGAAACTTCAGCTAACAGACTGTATTGGAATCGTTAAACAGAGATAAAATCGAACTGTATCTCTTGATGCAAATGGCCCCAAAGTGAATACAAAGACTATTTTGTCCTTAAAAATATATTATTCTAAACTTTGTTCCGACTTATCTAGATAAATATATTGAATATTATCCAATGGTTCTTGTAGTAATGGTTACGTAATAAATACGAATCTTAGCATAGACCGAAATAGTTTTAGTTGGGTTGAGGATAATCTCAAATCTCATTCAAAGTTCAACGCTTGAACCTAGCGACTAATTAAAATGAAGCGTAAATTATTATTTACACTATCGCAATCCTTTATGGAGGGCGTGTTTCGTTAGCCGCCGTCTTTGCTGGCTCATATGAGAAAGGTAAACTGTTTTACGACGGAAATACCACTCCATCATGCAACGGACCTGTCAGTTATACGCTAGTCAGTTATGATGGAAGAAAAATTGCAATATAGTAAAAGAAATAGCTCTAGCTAATTTTACAATGTGAAAAATTCCTAAATATTCACAACTGAGTGACTAAATAAACGAAAATAATACCCCAAATAGTGGCGACGATACACTTAAATGACTTGAAAACGTAGAGTTTATCCTTAGCGTTTTAATTATTACGCACTTTAAAATCTTAAAAATCAACAACAGACAAGTAATTTATAAAGGATGTGTAAATCACTGACTCAACAACTTAGTATTGTTCATACTTAGAAAAGTTGAACAAATATTACTTCCAAGACAACATTCTTAGTGTTTATTTGAAATCTTCAGAACTATTCGTTTCACATCTCTTACGCATTGTTTGGATATCCTATAGCTCATTTGTTATTATACAAAGGAGTATCAAAACCAGGACCTTGCCAATAACAGAATATGATCTATCATTGAAAAATATGAAATGTTGTAAGCTTGTAACGTTCAAGATAAAACTTGTGGCTTGGAATGAAATTATATATATATATATATATTAGGTTTCTATTTTCAAAGACAGTATTGACTACCTGAAAAGTCGAACCCGTCTTGCTATCAGTAACTAAGAATACAGCATAGCTCTTGTTTCAGTTAACGTCTTTTGTCGTTTTCGAGGCTTAATAATGCAACCATGCCAATACTCACTGTCCTACAACATGATTCTGTTTCAGCATTAAAATCACTGTTTACCAGAACAATTTAATATTATTTTATGATAGTGAAATACCATATTCATTGTCAGTTTAAAAACTTAAAATTTTACTTTTCAACGTTTTTGAATATACGAAAATTGAAACAATGGACGTCCAGATAAAAGTTGTTTATTGAAAACGAATTTATTTTTTACCAACATGTAGTTATCATCATGAAGCTATACCATTTGTAAAGCATTGAAGATCAGAATATACCTAGCAATTCCTCACTAATGCTCACCTACGAATAAATCAAGGATCGAACTGAAGACATTAAGATCATTTTGGTAGAAATGTTAGTTTTGGACAAATGAGTTTGAGCCAACTAGAGTAAATTTCTAATTCCAGTCAACTTGAGTTAAAGTGAAACAATTACGCACTGTCACATAGTGTCAAGTTCCATTAGTTTCGACTTTGCATCAGGACTTCAAGGGATTAGTAGAATTCGAAGACAATTTCTTTCACGAACTGATATATTTAGTATAGATTGCAGTATAATCGTTAAAACAGTATTGTATAAATCATATCATTCCTACTTTTGAAAGAAACATTTATTCTACATAATACCCTACTAAATTAATGATACACAGACTCTCTACAATTTTACCGACTAATAATTGGTTATTAGCCCGCAATAATTTTTTAAAAATATCGTTCGAACGCTTTTATCTGAAAGCTCAGGTTGAATAGTTAAACACGTATATTATAGAAAATCATAGTAAGACGTCAACTGATGATTCCCGAATACGACGAAAAGAGGGCTTTAAAAATTTAATATATCGTATTTTTAGTTAATAACCAGTTACCACTATAGAGTTGTAAATGTTGAATTTAGTTAAAATAACGAAACGACCTAAGTAAAACAACTATCGAATACCTGGAAACTTTAGACCACCTATGAACTGAAAAATGCTAGTCACTCTTGAGAGATGAATAAACAATCTTTACTTGGAAAACAAAAAAGACGTTTGAAAAGTATTGCTTTCTCCATGGTTCCTACTAATATGAGTTGATAAACTTGTGCATTCCCTGAAGAACATTTCATGCAATGTACTAGATATAATCCAAACCTAATGATTTCAAGAATTCTCTTTTCAAAAAATAACGGCTGTATTATCCACAAGTACCGACATTGTATAACATAGGATACAGTTTTCCAGATGCCTCACACTTAACAACTGTGAAAGATTCTATGGCATGAAAACCAACGTTCAATCAATAGTATTTTTTTAAAATAAACATGATCATGATAAAGACTACCTGGAAAATCTGTCTATTTAATAATCAGAAGGGGTTTTGTGAAGATTTTAGAAATTTCAATGGTTGAAATCATGAGTCAATTGAAGCTAGAGCACCATGGAAAACCTGAAAGCACTGGACAGCCGTTTCACCCTAGTATGGGACTCCTCAGTAGTGCACATCCACGGTCTCGCCCCCCACGGGATTTGAACCCAGGACCTATCAGTCTTGCGCGCGAGCACTTAACCATTAGACCACTGAGCTGGCATACAACGCTGTTAATGTCTGACTTCAACCAATCTACAAAATTACGCCACCGTACACCATTGTCTTCAGTGAGTTGATATCTCACAACAGACCTGGTTGAACTCCACTGGCCACGGCTTCTCACTAGAACTCCAGGAAATGCATCTTGAAGTCAGTCACTAGTGAGCAGATGACGGAGTCCAGGTTTTCCATGGTGGTCTAGCTTCGATTAACTCATGATTTCAACTATTTAATGATCCTCCAATTTTGGAAATTTAATCTAATACATATACAGATAAGGCAGGACTTAGTAAACTTATTTTTATAAATATACTCTTTGTTGATCGAAAATGGTGAGAGATTTGCAAACCTATGTGCCTTCAATAAACTGATCATAGGCGGCACTATATTCCCTCATAAACGCATTCACAAAATCACTTGGACTTCACTGGATCACACTACACAAAACCGAATCGACCAAATCTGCATCAACAAAAAGTTCAGGAGGACGATGGAAGACGTGAGAGCCAAGACAGTAGCTGATATAGCATTAAATCATCACTTGCTGGTCGCCAAGATGAAATTGAAACTCAAGAAGCACTGGACAACGGGGCAGACAATATCACAAAAGTTCAATACGGCTTTTCTTCAGGATACTGATAAACTCAACAAATTCAAGATAGCCCTCAGCAATAGATTCCAGGCCTTTCATGATCTACTCAATGGAGAAGGAACTACTATGGAGAGCAATTGGAAGGGGATCAAAGAGGCAATCACGTCAACATGCCATAAGGTTCTGGGCCACAACAAGCGCCATCACAAGGAATGGATCACTGTTAATACACTGGGTAAGATTCAAGAAAGGAGGAACAAGAAAGCGGCAATCAATACCAGCCGAACAAGAGCAGAAAAAGCCAAGGCACAAGCTGAATACACACAAGAAAACAAGCAAGTGGAGAGGAGCACTAGAACTGACAAACGTAAAGATCCAGAATATTTAGCAATGACGGCAGAAAAGGCTGCAAGAGAAGGAATCATGAGACAACTGTATGACACGACAAAGAAACTCTCTGGAAATCGCCGCAAACCAGAACGATCAGTGAAAAGCAAGGGAGGCAAGGTAATCACCAACGTTGAAGAACAACGGAACAGGTGGATAGAACACTTCAAAGAACTCTTGAATCGACCTGCCCCACCGAACTCACCCAACATCGGAGCAGCACCCACTGACCTCCCAAGATATCTTCTTTCAAGTTATTTTCTTCTACAGTGACAAAACGCTATGAAAAGGCCAAAAATATTATTTATAATGAAAATAGATGGTGATATACTGAATATTAAAAGCTGACTTACATGGATTGTGAGTTAAAGTTGGGCTTTCTGGTTGATGTGTTTCGGGAGTGACTTCTGAAAATCATAATAACAATTGTGCAATACTATTGAAAGGTTATATAAAGATTTGTTGTCAAGAGAATTGATTTACTAAACAGTTCTTCAAAATCACTTTTAACTGACGATACAGGCTGAGAAATAACTATTGTCTGTTCATAGTTTAATCCACTTGGATACATGGGCTTATCAGCACTCGTGAATGCACACAAATATAACCTATAGTGAAAATTTAATCCTTCGTTAACTATTTTTCAAAAATTATTTATTCACCGCCGGTTCATAATGAAACATCCCTTGGTATGAATCGGAAGATGGAAACATAAAGCGGTTCACACAAGTATATTGTAGACTTCTGTCTTTTACAAAGTTCACACTGTTAGTTAAAGAAATGATTTGTTTTGTTGAGACAATGAATAAAATATAGCTGAGAAATTATTTGAGACAAGTTATCACAGAATAAAATGCTATACGTTTCTCAATACGTCTTGAATAATCACTGGTTTATGAATAGTCTTGAATTACTGTACATTTTCCAATCGGTACATACTATTTTAGTATACTGTATGAAGCTGTTTGAATGAATGCCCGGCCAACAAAGCTTCTTTCATTCTCATTTGACCAATAGAAAATTAGACAAGTGAATGTAACGTTAAAACCAATGTTTTGTGGACTTACGTTTTACTTCAATTCTGCCATCCTAACTAATTATTCTTAGTATTCCTAGTAGTGCTGGTAATTGTCGAGTGGTTTTTTTAAGGATTACATTATTACTGTATAGATAGGTTATTAGATCAGGTATTTTATCTTAATCCAAATAATTCTTAAATATTTACTGGTTGAGCACATAATTTCAAAACATTACTGAAATGAACACGATTCTAAGCGACTGAGTTATTTTTTGTCGTATTGAGTTTTTGATTATTTTAACTATGGGAAGAAAAAATGGAATTTTACAAAACCCTATGTATTAGTACTCCTTTTATTCATTACTGAATACTTACCAACGCAAGGAGGTTGTGTTAAAATTCTACCGAATTCACTGCATCCTGTTAGTACATTATTTGATGGATTTAGCTTCGGTCGTGTTACTTCACAACTGCAACCGCCAGCCCATGGACCACTCCATAATCTTCGGTAAGAGTTTAAACAGGCAGATGGATTTATGTAACAAAGTCCATTTGAAGTTTGACATTCTGAAACTAGCAGATCATAACTTGTCCTGAAAGATTTTTAAAATGTCAACATTCTTAATGCTAACCATTTCAATTATCAAGATAAAAATATTTTATTAGAGCTGTTAATTACACAACTTATAAATCTGTCAAATTTAAGACAAAAGTCTTGTATATAAAGCACTCTGTTTTGCCATTGTATAATTCTCACAATTTTTGATACAAATACTTCTCCATAAATCAAGCAAACATGTGTTTCTTGTGCATTTTTTTATTTACATGTGATGATCATTTCAGGCCGAGTATTGTAATTTACCAATTAGTTAGCAAAATCGTATTCTATGTGAAATATATATGTCATGAAGTGGCTGTAGTAGTTTATAAACTAATGCAATACATTATCGTTCAGTTTTATGTCATGATCTGGTACCAATTATTGTTTATATAATGAAACAATAATATATCTCGACAGTTTGCAGTTTTTTGGCAGGGAACATCGGAAAAAGCATTTTATTAAAAATACATAACACAATTTAACTCGGTTTCTTGTGATATGTTTCGTGAAGTTGAGTTTAGCGCTAAAATAAATTATTTTGAGATGTAAACTGAGAACAAATCCTCTAAAGGATTTCTTTAGTTACTTTAAATACAAATAACACATGATTGCTTGATGTTAAGGGTCTGGAATTCTCAGAATAAACGTTTTAGTTAATTTTTTTGTTTCAGTCCTGTGCTGATGTAAAACACAGACATTTCTTAAGTTTGATGAAACAAACTATATCATGAAAGACTTTGTATGCATGCCGTTTTTACTTTCAAGGCAGCCTCTTTATTATTTTACTGGATTTACTCCATTGATTAATGTGAACCGAAATGATTTGTTTTGAAATAAATTCAAAAACTTCCCGAATGGTTCACGAGTTTGTTTGTTGACCAAATACACATAAGTAATATTTCGAGTGGCATACTTGTAGGAGCTGAGACACGACAAGCTGTGAAATACTAAGTTCTATTTTGGTACCATTCACAAATCAGAGGTTACTAACCCATTAAATTTTCTAACACTGTTTGATGGAACATAGACATGATTTTTTCAACCTACTAAGTGGATCATTCAGATTGTAAATTATACGTATGTACCTAATGGTTCATTTTTCTGACCATATCAAAATAAAGTAGGCAGTATATTGATGGTATGAAAATTATATTCTGCATATCACATTTTGTAGCGAGTAAACTGGACAGAATTATCCAATTTATCGGTATAATGATAGTTTTCAAATAAAACGTCTATGTTTGTAATATTCAATACGCAGATCTATCTGAAGATTTTATTCACCTACTTAGATTAAATTCAGAAACAATTTTATTACATTTTTGACAATGATGGCTAATAAGATATTAGTCGACTCCATGAAGTTAACAGTAAGTAATGGTTCGCAGCTAGTTATTACCCATTTGCAAGACGCACTAGAAATTTTTAGTAAATCGATGCTTCCTGCACCCAGCATCAATAGAATAGATAGACTTTCAATTGGTCACTCCTCAGTTACCACCAATCGTATTAGCCAAAAATCATGTTTGCAGTCATCTATTCGTATGATTATTACAAAACATATCACTGAAATTTAACAAGTCCACAAATCAGAAATGATATTTATCTTGAAGCATTTAAATGATATTTAGTTATATTGCATACCTACAAACTGGATCATTCTGACACTTAACCCATGCTTGATAGCAATTCATCCTCAATCCATATGACTGACGAATACATCTGGGTACAAATACATTTTGAATCTGCTGACAATCCAAATCACTTACTGTACAAGTGCATGATATGGCTTTATTTACCAGAGAATTTGTTTCCTTGTAAAAAAGTTCTAGTGAGTTTATACACTGATTTGGATTTCTACAGGCAATAAACTGCCTATTCATCTGTGTGCATCCATAACGAAGATTTACAAAATGTTGAAGACAAAAAGGTTCACGAAGACATTCATAAAATATTGAATAACATTCCATTTTATTATCTAATTTGAATAAAAAGCAGTAAGATTGAAAAAATATCAGTGTTTATTTCACCTGTAGAAATAATGAAGAAGTAAATGAGCCTTAAATTACCAGAAAATATTTTACAATCAGGATATGATCTCGACAGAACAATGTGAAGATGGATTTGATCTGAAGAATGTGATGTATTTGCGCTATACATCTCGAGCAATCTGATCACACGTATATTTTCACGGATAGAAATAATGAGTCAGTTGAAGCTAGACCACCATTGAAAACCTGGAAGCACTGGACGGCCGTTTCGTCCTAGTATGGGACTCCTCAGCAGTGCGCATCCACGATCCCGCACCACGCGTGATTCGAACATCACAACCTATCAGTCTCGCACGCGAGTGCTTAACCAATGTACCACTGAACAGGCATCCAACGGTGTTAATGCTTAACTTCAACTAATCCAGAAAACTGCGCCACCGTACATCATTGTCTTCAGTGAGTTGATATCTCACAACAGACCCGGTTGAATTCCACTTGTCACTGCTTCTCACTAGAACTCCAAGATATATCTCTTGAAGCCAGTCACTATTGAGCATATGTTGATTAATATCAGAAGGAGCTTTTTGTGGATGTTATAGTAATTTCAATGGTTGAATAACATTCCATTTTATTATCTAATTTGAATAAAAAGCAGTAAGATTGAAAAAATATCAGTGTTTATTTCACCTGTAGAAATAATGAAGAAGTAAATGAGCCTTAAATTACCAGAAAATATTTTACAATCAGGATATGATCTCGACAGAACAATGTGAAGATGGATTTGATCTGAAGAATGTGATGTATTTGCGCTATACATCTCGAGCAATCTGATCACACGTATATTTGTCATGTCATTTTATATGAAAATTAATAAAGGTCAATTAAATGAAAGTTCAAGTAAACGAAGTGATAATTGTAGATGAAAGGGAGCGAAAATAAACATCGGATGGAAGGAACAATAATAAATTGTCACTTTACTCTAGGCCATAAAATGACATAAGAATTATTTAGACAAATTCAGTCTTATGACAAATTGTTTCTGTATCCATATGGCGGGTTGGAATTTACGATTAATCAAAGCATCTATAAACCTACAAATTCGTCGTCGACAGTTTCTATACGCTTTAAAAGCTGTATTGATGTCAAATCTGTGCCCGGTTAAAACTATGTGGTTTGTTATCGATGAGCATGGTTTGCTACTTCCCACGCTTATCGGAACATGTGATATTGGCATATATAACCCTCATCGATAGCAAAGCATATAATTTAAACGGGGCACAGAATTAACATTAACAAAGCTTTTAAAACGTTTAGAAATTCTAATCACAATTGATTGATCACTCGGTGGTGAACAATGTAATATGTGTCAAGTCCTACTTAGTGCAGATCGAATGCTATTGACCAATTGTCTTTCTATACGATGTTTATTTTCGCTCCCTTTCATCTACAATTATCACTTCGTTTACTTGAACTTTCATTTAATTGACCTTTATTAATTTTCATATAAAATGACTTGACAAATATACGTGTGATCAGATTGTTCGAGATGTACAGCGCAAATACATCACTTTTTTTAGATTAACTTCGTTTTCTCATTGTTCTATCGGAATTTATAAAAGGAATAAAGTGTGATGTTTGATAATATGAATCACTTATTTGAAAACGGATTTCATTCTATTTGTCAAGTTCAAAATAGAGAATACAGAAGTAAACAACTTGACAGTTTAATCACTTGTCGACATTTCTATAAAAATCATTCTTTTTTAACTTAATTTTTAAGTTATAAACAATTACTTTAAATCATGTTTAGCACATTAACTACTAGACTTATAGAACTGATGTTAACAATGAAATGTATTTATTAAATAATTTTCGAAGGATTTAAGAACACGGTGTTTTGTACTTGATGATATTCTCATCCATCATTATGAAAATATTGAGTTCACTCCATTCTAATTTCAAGCCAATGCATTTTGTAATTGGAATGTTTGAAATTGCATATGTTATATGTTTGTTTTTAATGTTTTATTTCCTCTTAAACTAATGTAACAACTAATAATAATGATAATAATAATGAAGGCAAAACTTTCTTTAAATTAAGTTTTACGATGTAAGTCAGTTTTAATTAAATAGCTAGAATCTGATATCAATTCTAAAACTTTCGATTCGATTTTTCTGTCAGTAATGACATTGTTTACTCTGGAAAACGTTAGAATTAATCTTTGGTGACCTTGAATGTATCAACAATAGGAAGTGTCCTTGTGTTTATATATATATATATATATATATATATATGGGTGGCAACTCACCACCAACTGAGAGCAACAATTCAGTTAAAAGCCAGAAACGAATCCTTAGGGATAAGAATTGTTGACTAAGTGAATTTTTATCTATTGACCTAATATATGATTGAGACTATTTATTTCATCATATTAAAAAATCCACTGTGTTTCTATAGAGACGAAATTAGGATATAGTTTTGTAACTAACCAAATATAATTGATCATCTAAATCGCATTTATTTTTTGCACCGTTTTTATAGTTCTCTATAGTCTTCTGTTAGCTCTCTTCATTTCTCCTTGTTTTAATTTCGTTATGTTCAATTACTCGTGCTTTACTTAACAGTCAAGATTTTTATAGCGTTAAGGAAACCATATTATTAACAGAGCTTTAGGTTTAACTTAAATCATAATACTGAAGTCTGTCAAATGACAAATCCCTAGCTAACTTTACCCTTAACAGTTACCAAATTTTTTTTATTTATGTATTTATTCTATTTGATTCAACCAATAACATTAAAAGTTCATCAAAGCAAGATTACAGTTTAGGTGAATTAATAATGATTTACTAGCATGAAACATCTGTCTAGTGCTTCTCAATTTGTAATGGTTGTTGAACTAAGATCAGTCCTTAATGTAAACAATAAAAACTTGAAACATACATTAAATTGATTCATCTTGATCATAACTTTCGTGTTTTAAGTTGAGATTTCTTATTTGAGGATAACTTTTGTCATGACTCGGCATCAAGCTACACTGAAGATTCGGTTTCGTTTACTTTGATACCAATTTATAATTTATCACAAAATAGCGAACATATACAATACCATTCTCTGAATTCGGACCGGTGGTCAAAGAATATGGGCTCCAAAGTTAGTTCAGAATAACCTAAGATCAGGGTGGCTAGTATAAAATGTTCAAGGGATCCAAGTTAAAATGGAAGAGCTTCCTGTTTTTCAGTAGTATTTTAAGATGTCAGCCCGTGACAGAAAATGTTTCCAAGTATTCTAACTAGTAATTCTCTACCAATCTATATTATATTTGGTAACAAAATTCACATATAGAGAAAAATTTCTTTTTGCACTATTAATAACTTTTCGTGCAAAACCAAAGGAGAATGTAGTTCACGCAGTCAGCTTTACAGCTATTCATCATATACATACTCGCTCTAATGAATAGATTTTTATCAAAAGATTATTGTGTATTTACATCATTGACTAATTCAGTTTAAATGGGATGCCTGACAAATTGTTTATTCAGTCTAATTACTTGCATTTGCACAGATGCTATCAAAAGATATCAATACTTACCCCATGTTTCAGAAACAATTGTTTCTATATCAGTTAATTCGTTTGATCTTTGACCACTAATATTAGAACTGATAAAGTGTGACTGGTGTAATACTGATAATGTTTCATTTTCTAAAGTTGTTGAATTATTTTGAACAGCTGTATGATAGTCTGGTGAAACTGGAATAGTTGCTAAATTTTTTTCCAAATTCATATTTACAAAAGAATATTCCAATTCGTTTCCATTAACCAAGTTTATTTCTTGGTTTGATGAAATTTCTGTAGAGGAAAGATAAAAAACAAAAGTGGTAACTAAAATGACTGGAATAAAATGTAAATAGAATGTAGAACTCATGGAAAACCATTGAAATGAAAGTTTATCAGTTATTGGTAAATTTTATGATGATTCCTGAAAAGCTGAAGAATCTACGAGACAACTTTACTGAAGGCGAATGTTACAGTGTTTTGATTTGAGTTTTACTCTAAATACCCGTGAGTACTGAGAATAGATCATTTTACACTTGATCACACTTACACACTCAGTAGTAAATATTTTAACAACTTGCCAATGAAAAAAAACTTTCTTTTATTGGCAAATAGAATAAGGTATTTAAGATTTTATAGAAATGTTCTAGGATTACTACAGGAATCTTTGGAAAGAAGAATATGAACCAACAGACTAGAAAATGGGATATCTCATCAAGATATCGAAAATAGAGATCTTAGCATGTGTGAAGTATCACATTACTATCAGTACCAGTCATTTTCTCAACACTGTTGTCAAACGGTTCAGTAGATGCCCAAATTCGAAACCAACATCTGTCTTTCGTAAGGATCAATCATGTGCTGACTAAAATTCTACACGATGGATTTTCATCAAAAAATCATTTCAATGGGACTCGTCACCATACATCAACTTCCTTGATATTGAGAAAGCGTTTGACTGAATGCATAGGAAAACATCTTTGTCATCTTAGGTAACTCCTTTAATCAAAAAGAATTCGAAGTCGTACGTGGAGGGCAGCTCACAGATGCATTCCAAGTGAAGATTGGTGTCATACAAGGCTGCCTATGCTTGTTCTCTCCTCCTATTTCTGGTGGTTGACTGGATTAAGAGAGGATTTGAGGGGAATAGAGGAATACAATGGATGCATCTGGGCGATTTAGACTACGCAGACTACTTGACTGTTCCGTACTATACTCAGCAACATGTGCAGATGGAGACAGGCATTGTGACAGCAGCCTCTACAGCAGTTGGCCTCAACATACACACAGAAGAAAGCATGATCAAAATTACAGTGCGAAGAACAGCCGAATAACACTTGACGGAGTAGGTCTGGAAGTAGTAAAAAATTCTACGCACCTAGGCAGAATCGTCGATGAACAAGGAAGATCTGATGCAGATATAAATACAAAGATTTGCAAAGCAAGGGTGGCATTCCTGCGATTGGAGTACATTTGAAACTTGAAATAACTGTCAGCTAACATCAGTGTCAGAAGTTTCAATGCAAACGTCAATACAGTTCTTCTGTATTTAGCTGAAACGCGGACAACTACTGCAACCATTACCAGAAATGTACAGGTACTTGTTATATCCCATCAAAGATTAAATTATAGGTAATTTCTGAGATCTATTTATGGACTAATATATTCTTATTGTATAACTGTTAATAAACTATATATATTTGTATTCCTCTTATTATAGACTTTTAACTGATTTATTGGTTACTGTTATATGATTTACTATTCTCAAGTTATACTCAATTCATTAGTCACAATTTCCCATAATCACAGCCGCTTTTGGCTTGATCTTGTACAAATGCTACTTTCTAGTTTATGATGTGATGTGGTCTGATTTCGCATGCATATAAACCAAGTACGTTTGAAATACATGGTTCGTGTCGCGCGAATTGAGATTGACGTTCTGAACTTAACAAGCAGGGTTAGGAGGAAAAATACTCAGTCGGAACTCTAGGCTGCCGTACTGGTGCATGCATATAAGTCAGCGTATCTAAATTGGCAGTCGTATTCCACGATAATTGTATAGCTAAGGATATAACAGTAGTTACAAACACTTGTCTACACAAAATACTCTAGATCTACTGGTCGTATACTGTCAGCGATATCCTAATGAATCACATTCCAGCAGAAATGGAAAATAGAGAAAGACCTTGAGTATGAACAGGTCACACCTAATAGAAATTATAATGTATCACAAGGCAAGTCTCAACTCAAAGCAAATGTAAAAGAGGTATACTAAAGCGCATACCAAAGTATGTAGCTCATATAGATTATTTTCGTAATTTGGTTTTCTTTTTCAAGTCAACAATTCAAAATTTTTAGAAACGACTCAACAAACAAACAAATATCATAAGAGCAACATGATGTAGAGAACTTACCAACACATTTATTATCAATTACAGCCTCTTTATAATCTAAACATCTACGGTACCTGCCTTCGTTTAATTCACTTTTACAGTCACAATTCATATGTGTTTTAAGTTGAAGAAATTTCTTTGATGCTTCTAAACATTGTGATCTAGAAGTATTTAGTTATATGTAAAAATTGAAAAAAATTACATTAGAAGTTACATTGATTATCATTAGTTGATGTTTTGTAAACTCTAAACTTTATTGTTATTTTTACTCATAAAAAAATTTGCCAAATTAAAATTGATAGTTAGAAATGTAAACAAATCAAGAATGACAATATTTATGAAATATGATAAATGGATTGTATTTCATTTCATTCTCTTCAATTACATACAAGCTTATATCTGTAAATTATTTGCTAAATTGAATTTATAATAAATAGTGAATAAATTATGTGTAATGTGAAATGATAGTCCAGTGTTTTCAGGTTTTCCATGGTGGTCTAGTTTTAATTGGCACATGAACTCAACGATTAAATTAATGTAAAAGAAATTAAAAATGGAAGTTTTCAGAAGAGAATTTATTTTGTAATTATTTAAGGTAATAAGGTTTAGAATGTTAAAATATTTTTATTATGAATTTTTTTCTTCCTAGAAGTCTAGAAAGAAAAAATGAACATGAAAGGTCAATTCATTAAATTATGCTTCCAATTGGTTGGAAAAAAAGAAGTGGTTAGAATGTCATCAAGGCAGTTGAAGATTAATTACTGTCTTTTTTTCATGAATGAAGGTCATGTATAGGCTTTTTAATTGCTTATGCGAATTTCGCTAATAGAAATGTGAACTGTTTACTGATAACTTTAAATGACTTCACTAAATGGTCGTTTTACTTCATGTCTAGTAGGTGATATGCTAGTGAACTATTTAGGCAGCTTTCTTCTCGAAGCCAATGTTCACACTAAATATTTTGGGCCACGATCGACTTTAAAAAGAAAGACATCTACATTCGCTAATCGGAAATGAAGGTTTGGTGAGCGAACAGGCAGTGCTGATGTAGGTTCAGTGAAATCCGTTCTTTGAAAAGAATGAAATCTACATCTTGCATTTGATTATCAGCCATCAGTAAACGAAATCTCAATAGAATCAAGGGCCTTTTCCAACAATTTTAACAAACACCATTTTTTGCGATGAGGTAAAGATTGATTCTGGTCAGATGAAAATTGACACTCTATTATTATTTTGGATTTATAATTTAGAACACTTATGGACCTTATACTTTTTTATACAAATTTATTTTCTCTTAATTATCTTAATCTTCATCGATGTAGGACACTTTTCTTAATCTGCATACCATAATATTTTCTTCGTAATTCTTTATTTAATTGAAAGCCAATTGCTGTTGTAAGATAATGTTCTACAAAACAAAATGATGACTGGATGGTCCACTACTAAAGTGAAACAATACAAGTGAAATTCAGACATAATTAACTTTAAATAAACTCACTTCAGCTTATTACAAGTTCTAACAGTACATAATGCACGAAATTTATTAAGTGCTATGGCACATGCCGGCAATTTAGTGCAATTTTCAAGTAAATCTAAACAACTTGTATTTTGTTTATTTTTGTTCAAATGCTGATCAACTAATTCACCGTTAGGTGATCCTACACTAGACAGCATATTCATAGTGATAGGAGATTCTGTAGTCATCGGTACAGACGATACAAAGGGCTCGACCAATAGTGATGTTGTATTCAGACGTTTCACATTTGTATTCATATTGCTTGTTGATTGAGTAGGTTTACTTTCTGGTTTTACTGTAAGGTAATCAAAATCAGTTAAACAGTTAGCCAGTTTGCGAGAATTTCGAAATTTATGTTCAATTACATACAAATGATGTTTTATTACTAAATATCGTTCAAGAGACATACATATCACATTAAAACTGATAGAACATATAGTGTATTTGCAACCCATTTGATGAAATACATGTAGTTATCATAGCATTTAACATTTGATGTTTTTTTATGCAAAAGAATTTTCAGCGCGTATTAAAAAATATTGTGAGTCAGCACAATGGTTTTGCTGGAAAACCATCTAAGTAGCAATTTTATGTTTAATTGGTTAGTTCCCTTCATGAATCTGAGTAAAGAAGAAACAATAGATGACACGTAATATCTTGAAGTCATTTTTATTCATTCGGTGCACGTCAGCCATTTACAAAATTGTTCCATTTGAACTTCAGGAAATTCACGACATTGCTGCATTGTCTATGGTGTTTAAATGATTCATATCATACATGACTGAACCATAACAGTCATCTCTCGAAACTAGTCTTTGGAAAGCAGATAATGAATATCAAAATAGAAGGTTTTGCGGAGATCAATATATGTTTCTGTTTTCATGAGTAAACCTGTGTCATATCAACACTAAAAGCCGAGATGCACTGGGGAATTATCTCGTTGTAATATATGTCACTACAATCTTGTACATCCCCAGCGCTGTCTCGGAGTTGAAGATAAACATAAAAAAAACATCTTGTGTAGGCTCACTGGCCTGAAGTTTAGGCACTTGTCAAATGACTTGAAGGCTCTAACTGTGTTATGACCGCACAACATAATGAAAATAATAATATTAGGAATCAGAGGATTTAGCAAGAATATATCCGTTTAGCATGACGTTTATAATTGGAAAACTGCACTTTTCTGAACACAATGACCGCCTGTCGTCACACACTATACAGGACGTAGAACCTTTAGATCTACTAGTCGGTCCTTAACTTCAACATCACATTCATTTATAAACTTATGTGTTAATCTATTGACATTCCAAACTGATTTGCCTTCACCTAAACAGAATAATTTAACGACCTGTTAATCTCACGAGCGGGATCGTGAGTGCGCACCGCCAAAGAGTCATACAATAGAACGAAATGGCCGTCCAGTGTTTCCAGGTTTCAACGGTGGTCTGATACCAACCGGTTCATGATAATCAAAAACCTGTTAAGAGTTAGACATTCTCATGGCATACGTTGAAAGGAAGTGAGTGTCACTTTTGTATTTTCATTTTGTCTTCAAACCCAGAGTGATTTTATGGGAAAACATTTGAACAAATAACACCATACTTAAAGTTGTAACAGTTTGACCTTAAGATTATTATGCCGGGGATCAATAAACTGACAATAGATGAAAGGTCAATAAATTTTTTAATGGCATATTCAAGCAAGTGGTAATTATAACAAATCAATTCAGACAATCAAATATGTTTAGATTTATAAAGAAGTATTCGAAATTCCCATCTTTAAAATCATATCAGTGAATAACACTGTTTTCAGATAGATATTCATCAAGTTTTACTCTAAAATATAGTATATATTTTGTGGATATATGAAATCTATTGAAACAATCAAACGAATTTGTGAATCAATGATAAAATGAAATGAATTATTCGAGAGAATGTATAGTGCTCATACTCTTCAGTCTATAAATAAATACCTATGTGTAAGTACTAATGATAAGTTACGTCACATTTAACCATTAGTTTAATTTGCAAGACAGTTTAAGTTTTCAAGAACTTCAAAACTAAACGTCCCCATCATCCTATTATTTGTTAGTATAAGCTTAAAATTGAGTAATGTATGGAAAATTATGAATATTCAAAAATCATTTATACACTGAATTGCTACTACTTGTAGAAATCGATTAAAATACTCTGACAAAATGTTGCCTAGCGACATCTACATACAACTACCGTTAATTGGCTATTCATAGAGTCTACAACCAACCAATTATACTTGTATTTATTACGACTGAATAGTTTATATACTTATACATTAGGTACTACGATAACTATTATGAATCGATGAAAAAAATCGAATTAGTTAAATTCCTTCGTCAATTTATAATACTGACAAGTAAATAGAGAATTCATCGAATAATATAAAATTTTTTGTCATATAGTTCAACGATTGTCAGTTTTTACTCCGTTTTAGATTATTTCAAGCGCAACTTAGCATTAAAGTATAACGTAGAAGTTATCTAATCATTACTTATGCGACTTTTTTTGTCAAAATGTATACCACGTTAAAAGTTTAACGTTCTATGTTAAAAAGTATAGAAAAAAATGTTCATGAGTTGCCAGCTAATTCAAATTCCATGTTGTCTGAAATGGTTCGAATAATTTTTTCTGGTTAGCGTTTTTTTTAGCGAGTTAGTTTTCTAATGGATGGGTCGCTAACCCCATGCCCAACCCTCCTCCTTTATCCGGGCTTGGGCCGGCAGAAGCCCCCGGAGGGATCCCAGGGCGTCACAGGACAAGCTCTCACATGGAATCCTCAAGGCCAAAGGAAAAGAGGAAGATCAAAGAACACATTACGCCGGGAAATGGAGATAGACATGAGAAAAATGAACAAGAATTGGATGGAACTAGAAAAGAATGCCCAGGACAGAGTGGGTTGGAGAATGCTGGTCGGCGGCCTATGCTCCATTAGAAGTAACCGGCGTAAGTAAGTTGTCTCTAAAGTTGATGTTTTATCCTTCAAGTATTTATTACCACTTTAAATAACATTTAATTATAAAATGGAACATAGTCTAACGTGTCCGATTGTGAAAATATTTTCAGAATATGAGAAATGATTATACAAGAAATGTATTAAGTCACTTCATTCAACAACTGATTTGAATTTTACTGATCCAATCTGGTGTGTAAACGACGAACATATTGTCAAGTATACTCTTGAATTTAATTAAAATACTAAATGAGGTTATTTTTATAAAAATTATTTTTATTACATAAAACAAAAACCAAGTAACGAATTCAAATTGAAAACTGATTATGAATTAAAGGCAACGATGTATCACATTATAAAAGGTTTGTGTTATTACTCCCTCCCCCCGAAGAAATATTAGAATCATATGGTAAATGTATTTGTAATACGGTTGTATAAAACGTCTTTAGTTAATATACAATAAATAAGTACTCACTTTCCTTTCTAGATTCATGGCGAAAATTTCCAGATGTATGTAATTCACGAAGAAATATTGGTGGTTCAGCCAAACATGGATGATTGTTTAAATTTTTTCTAAGTAGATTACATTTGGTTAAGTCATCAATCGAACGGCTAGACCGACTATCACATATACAATGCTTTAATCCTGGACGTCCAAGATTCATGGTTCTAAGAGCTGATTGACATTCTCGTAAATATTTACGCTGGCACCCCATTAAACTGCGCTCTAAAAAGAATAATTGAAATGTTATGGACTAAGATTTTAACTCAAAATGAATGGTGACTTTTAGTCCAAATAAATCAATTTACGAAAGATGTCTCCCATTTAGTGGAATAAATTTAAATTTAAATATTAGCATGATACAACTTAGATATCACTTCTGTTATACTGATACCTTTCGTTTTCATGTATTATTATTACGTGGACAACATTTAGGGCATTTGATGACGAGTATGAGAAACCGGCTAAAATATGATACATTCCTGAGGATTAAATAGAAAACACTAATGATTCATGCTGTTTCATAAGATTTTAAGAATTGCTATGCCAAAAATTGTACATAGTAATGTTTATGAAAAAGAAACTTTTGATTTGTATAGTTCATTTTTCTCATCTTTCATTCTAATCATAACGATTTAAAAAGACGGAAGATTTCATCTATTTAATGTTAATGGTATACCATAAGGTAACATGGATCTATATTCTTTTCACTCATCAAAATAAGATCAAACCACATCAAAAAATAAATTGTTTTAAGTATTTTTCTTCAAGATTCTGACAAAGCATCTTATTTTCATATTACCAACAATGAATCCACTTTTATCGTCTCAGTTGACACAAAACGTCTTGTATTTTTATACTGCAAGCGGATAAAATACTTATAGACGTCTACTGAAGAATAATGCAGTAATCAGAATGACGTCATTTGCTTACCTGATTACATCTATTAACTTACCAGTGAAAATAAATCCATACTAGATAGCACTGATTACAAAACTGTAACACAGCAATAGTAAAATACCGGCATTTTACAAAACTTTTATGACTTATCAGCATTTATCAGTTTATCATAATTAATGATCCAACTGTCTACTGTATAGATGATCATATTAATTTAAGATACTACAAAAATGAGTGATGACTAGTATTTTCCTATTAACTTTGTATCGAAAGTTTTATATATTCATCCGTTGTGCAATCATTTAATACAATTTTCTCAATTCTGTTATAAGTTTATGACATGTATTAGTTTAAAATATATTAGGAATACTTTATGATGATTACGTTTGTATTTGTTATATTTTCATAACCAGTTAGAAAGACTTGTCTTATTTGTTATCTAATTTAATATTAAAAGATTCAAAACGTTTTTTTTCTATTTTACTATACAATAGTAATGAGTTAAGTGATAAACTATTGATTATAGTCTTACACGCACTAAACTATTAAACGTAACATTTTAATAAGACCAGTTTTAGTTCGAAATGAATGAAAGTACTTCAGATGAACCTTTTTAGTACAACTAACCTAAAACCTTTCATAGTCAATATACCTGTAGTTTTATTCAACTATAATCTTAGCAGTCAATAACCAAGTCGTTTATTGCCGATAAATATAGGAAACATTGGAAAAAATATAAATGAAAAGTTAACTTTATACACTACTTACCATCAGTCCAATCTCCACAAAATGTTTTGAAAATATCTACATCCACTTTACATATTCCACTAAATAATTCACAATTGTGCAATGCTTCCAAACAATCTATTCTAATTTCTTGTTTTTCAATAACTTCATCAACAGATTGTAGTATGTTTGTTCTACTACTTTCAGTTACTACATTTCTCATTTCATTACCTACATTATATATTGTTGATTTTTGTGGAACTACAGGTATTGGAGTTGTCGAAGATGATGAAGACGGTGAAGGAAAAATAACATTGGCTCGAATATCCCAATCAGTTTGTGTTAAATAATATGGTAAGTGAATTAAACTGATAAAATATAAGTATGAATTGAAAAAATTGCACATGTTTTTCTGGTTATCAATTCTTCTAGTTAACTGAAACTTTAAATTCAAAAGATGCCCAGAGATTTTCTCTTAAAAGATTTATAATTGAATTCAATTTGTAATTCTTCAGAAAAGAAAAATAAAAGATATAGATAACTTTAGAATTTATAGTTTTAAATGTCAATACATTAAGAGTTATTGATTGCGAATAAAAAGATATGGAACAATAATAATAACTAAGAAATTAAGCGAGAGACCGATAGGTCCTGGGTTCGAATCTCGCGAGGTGGGATCGTGGATGCAAACTGCTGAAGAATCCCATGGCGTTCAGTGATTCCAGGTTTTCTATGGTGGTCTAGCTTCAATTTACTCATGAATTGAACTATAAAATATAATGGCGTTTCCAAAATACTTTATGGAGAAAAACATTACAAACATTGAAAAATCCAAGTTAAGTCTGTAAATTTAAGTATCTATTATTTTATAGTTACTTTTTATAGTGTGATGTATTTTATAAATGTTGACAGATATAAGTAGTATGTAACATCAATTGAAAGTGGAATGTTTGTCAGAAGAAGACTGGGAAGAACAGGAAGTGAAATAGTGAGCAATTGTAATGACGACAACAACAATTAAAAGAAGATATGCAAAACTTTTTAAAGTACGGTTTTCATATTTTATGAAAGCATTCTGTAACTTTGGATTAAACAATAGATTTGTTTTCCCCTTCTGATTCTTCCTTCACTATAATAGTACATGTAATTTCGTTGAAAGCTACGTATAAAATCATTTTTTGCTTATTTTGGCCGAAGAAGCTACAATTTGTTTCATACAATATATTTTTTAAATGAATCTATCTCTTCTTCATATAGATGACTGATACTAAACACTTCAATAAATCAATCCTTTCGTGTTGCATGTTATATGCATATTTTTTGACTGCAATTACACACAACAGTTCGTAGCTAATAAAATCGTGTTCGGGAATTTCATGCAAGTATAAATGTTGTAAGCAACTTATTCGTTCTTGTAAACTAAATAAGTATCAGTATGGGACATGTGGAAATTGCAGTATTTTCAAAGATGCACTCACCCATCAATCTAAGCTAGATCATCATTTAAAACCTGGAAGCATTGGAAGTGCCCTCCGTCCTAGCACGGGACTCCTCAACAGTGCGCTTCAACGATCTCATGCGGGACTCGGACCCATGACCTTCAGTCTCGCGCACGAACGCCTAAACTCTAAACCATTGTGCCTGCATCAAACGTTTGCGCAAGATCACGAACCGAATACATTTAGACATTAACACCGTTGGATGTCGGCTCAGTGGTCTAGAGGTTAGGCGTCCTCACATTAGACTCAATGCCCTGAATTCGAGTCCCACGTGCGGGGTCGCGAGTGATCACTGCTGTGAAATCCCATGCTAGTACGAAACAGTCCTCCACTGCTTTAGGGCTTTCAGTTGTGGTCTAACATTGATCGATTCATGATATCAATCTAAACTCCACAACCCTATACTGATAATTTATGTTATCCCTCAATTTAATACAATTTTTGATTTTCTGTTAAGAAAACCAATGTACAAAAGGATAGAAAATAAAAAAATAATTTTCACCTTTTAGTAAAGTATGTTTAGGCCTTAATATAAACTCTGTAAATCTGAATGGCTATTTATCTGAGTAACAAGATGTGTAATACTATTAATTGAATTTCTAGCTAAAGATGACATTAAGTGTGAACTTTAAAAAACCCTGAAAATAAGTGTCATTTGAATGAATATTATTTCCCGATATCATTAAAAAACAACAAGTAGACTATTTATAAAATTCTTACAAACTCTGTAGATCGATTGAAGATGGTTGGTAAAAAATTAAATAATATTAGTAATCTTAAATGTTAACACCACTGATGTATCAAAAACAGGCTACCCATCTCATAAACATAACATGAAGATAAGATTATGCAATTCCGAAGTAATCAATACTTATGAATTAATAACTAAATAGTAAACATGAAATAATTGTTGTATGAACCAATAATGTTTCATAAACAAGTCATATATGAAATTTAGTGGTTTAATTAAAACCGTGTTTTTTTTCATTTTTTAACGAACATTAACCATATTGTAAAATCTACTTTGAAATGACTACATAATTTTTACGATGTTTCTATTGGTGTTTGAGTACCTGAAAATATTTGTTGTTTTACATTGTTACCGTGATGTAGAAGTGATCGAGTTAAACTTTTGTATTATTCCACAATCTAATCTATTGTTTACTAAGCATCAACCGAATACCTAATAAACATTATGTATGAGAAACGATAAATTTTATAAGGAACTACTATAATACATTCGTTTGATTGGCAAAAAGACTGTAATTGAGTTGTGCTTATATTTGCTTAGTAAGTCCAAGAATGAATTCAAAATTTTGGTATGCACCTTTCAAGAATTTTATTGTTATGTGAGCTTTTAAATCTATACAACATCAGGTCACATTAAGATTAAAATTTCGAACATTGGCTTCATATTAAAGAAGAAGCTGTTTAAAATAACACCACACTATTTTTCTATTAATACCGTCCACTATAGCTTAGTATGTAACAAATACTAAAGCATACAAAATATATTCTTATGTTTTTTTCCAAGTAATAAAGGCCATTCAACGGCCTTATGATACTAGTCCATTATATTCAATTATTTTACAGCTTTTGATCTAAAATTAAACAATAAATAATAATTTTGGTGAGAACTTGACGCTTAATAACTCTAAATGGTATACTTGCTTTGTTATAATATTGTTTTGTTGGGGTATCTATTCATGATGTTTATCATTGACTGATTACTGAGTAGTCACCAATGACGTCTGACTAGACTTTGTGGTATTGAACAGATTCTATTGATCAAGCTGCAATTTTTCTAGCAGTTTACGTAACTTAAAATCATGTACAATAACTTATACAGATAAATAAAGGCCTAAATAATCTAACGGTAATATTCTAGGCTAAGTTGATGAGTGACACAGGATTCAACCATCTAAGTAGTATCAGTTACATGAAACTTACAGTTACACTTTGCTGAGAATTACTAAATAGCAAGTAACCTGAGTTTAGATTATCCTATCAACCACCTGAATTACCCGATATGTTATCCGATTTTTCTTAACTAAGAATTAGTCTAGATAAGAATTTTTAAAAAATTTAATTTGCAAAAAACAGTAGTATCAAACAGATTTTGGAAATCATATTTGACTGTACTCTCACTATATAGTCCCATTTTCTTGACACCAACTATATGTTAATAAGCATTATATAAATGTGATCAAAAAACAAACATCTGCATAAATAAGATCATATCTTTTTATGTGAATCAAGAAAATACACATAGAAACAGTTAACAGCTAAACAGAATGTGCTGTTACCTATATTTCCGGTTGAATAGTAAGAATATTAGCTTTAATTTTTTTTCTTTTTCACATTATGATTAAAAGTAATTAAGATTTGTATATTTTGTTTGTTTAATTGTTCTTGTGTGTTCTGTAGACCAATTGTTGAAACTAAAATAATGATATGCGTGATATAAATTCATTTCCCTAAAAACATTATTATTAATATTATTATACTCATTTTCAGGTAAAGTAAAGAGGATAAAGAATAGTGTGTTGAGGTGTGTGAATGAGATTTATTAAAATTATTATGTTATAAGTATCTTCTTATTATAGATGTGATAAATATGTTCTCTCTTTATATATATATATATATATATATATATATATATATATATATATATTGATTTGAGCCTTTATTATTCTTATCAAAACTAGTGCACCTGTTATCACACTATCGAATTGTACTTTTTGCCTATTATGTAATCATTTTCATTGTTATCATTGACTTATATACTACCTTGATTGGTTTAATAATTTCGTATATGCATATAAATGTTACTGTATATTAGAGTAAAGCCTGATGAGGATCTAATCGAAAACAATATTGTTCAATTATATATGTTGTTCTAAATACATATATATTAGTTTAATTCATTTATTGAGCATGTATTGAGTAGTTTTGAGTAGGGAGATTATTTTTTAACTGTATTTATCTACAATATATTGTAATGATATTTGATTATTACATTATAAGTATAGATAATATAATTTAGCTTCTTGATATGAATACATTACATCGTAATAAATTGTTGTTCAATATATATGAAACAGTAATTATAAACATATTGGACTATATTTATATTGACGTTTTTATTGTGAAGGGAAACACACTTCCTCTACTATAACTGCATATAAGTAAAAGTTCAAATGTACCTGACCAAACTAGAAGAGCGGTTTGTTAAAAATGCTCCGTAATTTCGTAATTCTGAAGCAAAATATCCAATCATTGTGATTATTGTAATACACAAATTCAGAATGAAACAGTTTCTTAACTAGGTGATGCTTGTGAAAAGATTGTTTATTCCGAGCTAGACGTTCTCCATATATTATATTGTACACTGAATAAAGACATACAATACGAATATTGAAAGGTTAAATAATCAACCTATAACTTTCCGGTTACCCTTTTAAATATTATTTAAGGTAGGCTATCAGGTAGCAGAATTCGATATAATGATCCTGTATGCATATTTTGATGTAGTCATCATCAACTATGTGGCATATTGACTTGAAAGATTTATTAGAAGAGCTCATACATTTATAAGGTAGAAGTTGGTAATCAAAAATGATTCATTTAAGATCCTGGTTTTAAAGTGTTTGATTATCATATTTCGATAGAGTAAAACAATATATCAACAATCGATAGTTAATTGATAAATACTCTATTTGACTTATTAATAATTTGGAAAAAATCGTTATATAAATCAAATAAGTCTATTGAATACTGTCATACAGAACCGACTAAAAATTATGAAATAAATAAATTACATTTACAAAGTTGTTTGGCTGATTGCAACTACACTAATTATTACTGCCTTATCAATAGCTACGAATAGTGCGTTAAAATGTCGCTT